GGGCTCGAGCGGAGCAGCTGGTGCCATCCGGGCAAGAGATGCAGGGCTGTGGGGAGGATGGTGAAGGCCCCCTGGCTCTTTTTCAGGGCTGGCCATGACCCTGATGGACGCCACGGCCGACAAGGATCCTGTCGTCCAGGAGCAGATCTTCAGTGCCCTCTGCTCTTTGGGCAGGGCTGAGCCCGAGGAGGTCCTGAACGCTTGCGAGGAGTACCTGCGGCAGCACGAGAAGGTGGGGCATCCCAGCGCGGCTGTTTCCGTAAAAACAGTGGGGGTGGGGAAACGTATTTCTGCCTGGATGGGCAGGAGACTCCGGAAGGCTATTCTGGAAAGCAGACTCCTTCGGGGAGGAAGGAACGCAGCTGGCGGGCGATGCCCTTGCGGCTCCAGAGAGTCGGTGCCGGGCGCAGGTTGGGGCTGACCCTCATCTCTGCCCCTCATCTCTGCCTCCTTCCCTTCTTTCCCAGCTGGCCCACCCATACCGTGTCATCCTCCTGAGGGCCATGGAAGCCGTGGTGAAGAGCAGCCTGGCTCAGCTGGACAAAAGCACGGCCAAGATCGTCATCTTCCTGGCGTCCAGCGAGATGACCAAGTCTAAAGTAAGCCTGGGAGCTGCCCGGTGAGGGGGCATGTAGCTGAAGCGCTGCCTGCCCCTTTGGCCTTCTCACCCGGAGGACCCGAGGAAGCCACGTCCACGACCTGAGGAGGGGCCGGGGGGTGCTGGGCCACTTCTGGGCATCCTGGCCTGGGCTGCTGCTCCCATCGACTCTGCCCGTGTGGCTGCCCCGTTGTGTTGCCGTGCCCACTTCCCCGGGGGGGGGAGGGAATGTGGGGACGGAGCGTGGGGGTCGAGCTGTCGGTCTTGGGCTCCCCTAGGAGGTTCTTCTGGAGTGGCAGCAGGCTGCCAGCAACATCCTGGTCGCAGTGGGGAGGTGTTTCATCAACCAGGTGATGGAGGAGGTGCTGACCAAGTTCCAGCCGGGGGTCCTGCCTCACCCCTTCGTCGTACTGACCTTCGCCAACCTCTCGGTGGCCAATGGTGGGTGCGCCCTCTGTTTGGTCACTCTTTGCCCAGGAGGAGGGCCTACGGCCTGATGGGCAGGGAGGCTGGGGGAGGGGTTGAGGGGGGGTGCTTAGGAAGGCAAGCGAGGTTGGCGGCCTGACCCTCTGCCTACCCCTGGCCTACTCACTGCCATGTTCAGTGCCTGGTGTCCCTCGGCAGAGGGTCCAAAGCATCCTGGGCATCGTGGCGCAGCTCGTCCAGGCTCTGGCCCACTAAGGGACAGGCTGCCCAGTGGGCACTTTGAGACCTGAGCCTCGTTTTTTCTGTTTTCAGTGAACCTCGACTTGTTGATTTGGGGGATCCGAGTCTTCTAAAATTTATTATGTCAGGGAGCTCCCTCGAGTTTGGAGGAGGGAGCGATATGAAATGTTGGAAATCAATAAATAATACATTTTGGAGAAATCTCACATTATGAAAAACACCCATGGAGCTTACTGAGAGCGTCATGTGAAGCAACACGATGCTTCGAAGGGACACAAGTAATTGCGTGTCCTGTGGTGTCCCTTCAAACTGACCCTGTCGGTCCAGGTGATGCCCAGTCTGCAAAGCCTCTGAAGGGCCACAGGTGGGGCAGAGAAGAGGCTAAGTGGGGGCAGGGGAGGGATGTGTGGTTTATTTATTTATTTGGCATAGGGCCTATCGCAGGAGTAGGCAACCTTGGCTCTTTTATGACTGGTGGACTTCAACTCCCAGAATTCCTGAGCCAGCCGTGCTGAGGGGAAAGGGAGAGGTTTCCAAGCTGAGCCATGCTGGCTCAGGAATTCTGGGAGTTGAAGTCCACGAGTCATGAAGGGACCATAATTCCCCCATGCTGGCTCAGGAATTCTGGGAGTTGAAGTCCATGAATCATGAGGGGGCCATAGTTTCCACATGCTGGCTCAG